ATAAAAAACCAATTAGCTACCTGTATTTGTAATCCCTTGTGTATTATACCTGTATATTAACTCAAAAATTTGAAACTTTAAATGATTATATCTAATAAACGAATTAAGTTATATTAAAAATTCAATTGCCATTTACTATTGAATTAAAAACTGAAACATTTTATTAAATTAAAAATATGTGTTACCATTTAAAAAAACAAAGTTGACACCCTTACCAGGCATAAGGGATGAACTTAAAAAGTATTACATAGTTAATAATTCAAGAATAATGTGTAACTAAAGATAATAATAAAAAAAATTTAAAATTATTATTATTCTATAAGTAATTGAGTGGGTTATGATAAAAAAATCACCCTGTATATATATATTACTAAGTAGTAACACACGAAATTAGGAAGATCAACTCCAAGAAAAAATATAAAAAAAAAAAAATTAATAAAATTTCTTAAACCGCATTCATTATCAAGCGTTTAACGATAGTGATCATAATAACTGATAAAATTTAGTCAATATGGTCTCGATTACGCACAATACAAACTGCTCTATTTTTTTTTTAGGGACTAATACTGTCCACATCAGCAGAAATAAATCATGATCAAGTTATCAATTATTTATCATCTACAAATTTACCACAAGCTCAAAATGCATTTCATAATTGCATTGCTAATTTAAATATAAAAAGTCTTGAAAAAATGGACTATAGTAAGACATTTAAATAACTTGTAAATCCTTATATATTTACAATAATTTAATATACGTAGATCAACAAATATGTAATAGAAGCATACTTTTTTTTAATTAACTATAATTTCAATCGAGTCACTATATTTTTAAAGAAAGAAAAATTACAAATAATCCTAAAAATCATTTCAAAGACTTTTAAAAATCCAAATACAAATACTAACATATTTGTAATATAATGTATTTAGTTTTTTAAAATATATGAATTATTCTAGTAAAATTAGTAAAAAATGGAATCCATCATGCAGAAAATACAACAGTATTATAACGTTATATACAAACAATACTTAAATAAAATAATAAATACTTATAATATTATGTTGTTAAAAAATTCTATTTAGCCACCAAGAACTCTTTTTTTTATTGTCGAATGATCTTGTTTCATGATCAAAATAAATACGGACCAAATTAAGTCAATGCTGTTAGTATCACTTTTGAGTTTTAATAATTATTTGTTTATTAAAGTTGCAACTATTATATTTTAAATAGTATAAATTTTTGATTGAATTATTCAACTGTATAATTAATTTATCAATATTAATTCATATTTTTACAGACAGAATCAATCAATTTTTAAAACGAATGAGTGATGAAATCATTTCCTGTAATATTTATCCAGAAAAAATGAGTGAAAAAATAATAGAATTTCTAAAATTAGATATCTCTAATATTGAAAAAAAATTTGAAGAGTGTTGTACTATTTTTCACTCAAGTTTGTTTGCTGTAGAAAAACCCAAAGTACAAAATAACGACATGTTAATTTTAATAGTATCTCAATGCTTTTTAGATTATTCTAATAATTTAATAAAAAGTATATTACATTTTTGAAATTCAATTTCTTGCTAATTAGCAAGGATGTAAATGTTTACTTCATCATATACCATAAATATATCTTTCAATTATATATTTTACTAATTAAACAAAACATTTTTTGTTTTTTTTTTAAATATTTAAATTACATAATTCAATAATATATATGTCCACTTCAGGTTTAATTGTTGTTCAAATAAATTAGTTATTGTTACCAAGATTCATTTTCATAATAGTTCTCAGCCCTAGTAAATATCTCGCGCTAAATTACAATATTAAAAGATACTATTAAGAAATTTACATTACATTGCTTCGAATTTAAATCTTCATTGATATCACGTATATCCGTAATATAAATCATTCAATTAACTCTGATATAAATATTTATATTATACAGGTTTTTTAAATATCTCTTTTTAATTATAAAAAAATTTTTTAGTTTGATATAAAAGACGATTTGAAAACATATAAAAACCTATTGGAATCGCGTTTTTATCAAGCTAATAAAATTCTAGATCGTTGCCTTAGCAAATATGGCACTGGAAGAAACAATGATGGACATAGTAATTAATTTTTATATACTTTTTATTCAATATAAGTAAATTAGCTAATAGTTGTATTATGCTTTAGATAAATACACTGAAACTTCAATACTTGAGGTCCGAGCCAAACTTCTAGATTGTACTTTCAGGAATATAGATGAAATTATTTTTTATAATCTGTCTCCAGTTAATGGCGTTCGTCGTATAAAAGCCTTCTACCTTGGATCTAAAAAATATGCTTTTGCAGAGTATTGTGTTGCCGTTTATTACACGTATTTGATTTTTAATGATTCCACTTTTCATCAAAATTTAGGAACTAGTGATAGAACTCAATAAAGTGTGATGAAAATTTATAGTATCCTTTATTTAATAATTATTAATTTTATCCTTTATTAGTTTATATTATTATTGAGATTTTTATAATAAATTTTAACATTATTCATCAATTATTGTTTTCAAATTATAATTCAATAATGATCATTACATATGTGTGTGTTATTTTTCAATACATTAATATAATTGTGAATATTTAGAGAATACATAATACAAATTTAATAAATGAAAATTTAAAGCGTTAGATTATTAAATTTAATTATAGACTAATAATTAGTGTACAAAATCATACATGTATAATTATTATACATAAATGATGTTTTTAAAATATAAAAAAAATTGCATTAAATATTAAGGGCAACGGTCAAGTCTCAATCGTATTATACTTATGTGTATTTAATGTACGATAATGATTTTTTGCATTTACTCGCGTATTATTTACTGGTAATATTTTTACTACCCAAACATATAGTGGAAAAAATTAACCGACTTAAAAAATGTTTATTTATGTATGCTTCATAATCATCCCTTAGTTTTTATCCTAGATATTTGGGGTTGGCTCTACCTTACAATGATTGGACAGTATTTTTAATCCGACTGTTCACCTGATACAACCTCATTTAGCTAAAAGAGTCAGTAAAGGCCAAGGTGTGTCACTTTTAAAGTTTCCGTTTTGGTACATCATCCACCATCATGGACATTTGGGAACCAACATCAAACAGCACAGTTAAACATCAGCGCTGTGCTAGCAACTTAATGATCCACTGCGCTATATCACGCCCGATTTCTATATGCTCTATAGAAATGTTAAATTTTATAAATGTTACTTCCTTTGTACTGATGAATTTAGATAATTTTAAAACTGACATTTAATGTATTAACCGTTTCATGAAAAGGTTCAATCAGATTGTGTTGAATCGGAGTGAAACCTCGATTAGTGACGTACACGATCCGTAGGGAAAAGAAATTGTGAACAGGTCGGTGTTGTGAAGATGATTTCAACGTATAAATGCGGCAGGTGGTTATCAGAAGTGCGGCACTCGCTAGACTTTGTACCGCCATCGACCGCTGTGTTGGTCAGTCAATTACCATGTACACGTAGTAGGGCGATAGCTATCAAAGTTGGCACGGGGCTCTGTGTATGACAGAACACACGGAACCGTCTCAATGTACACGAAAGATAAAATGTATTATTATTTTGATTATAAATTAACCATGTTGATTCTTTTTACATTCGGTCAATGCTATTCAAATGTTTCTTAATTTCCTTTTTATGCTATTTTAGCTTCGAGGCGAAGCTGGAAATGTATTAATATTACTATGATGTGTTTTTTTGTGTTTGTTACTACTTTTTATCAGCTCTCACCAAACCGATTTCTTTCAACGATACGTCAAAAGATCAATATATCTTTCATTCGACACGATTTTTTTTTAAAACCGGACCATTGCCCTTAAATACAAGGGGGGTTTAAAAATTAAAAATGCATATATAAAGTAGAACATTTTCAACTAAATTTTTTACTTTATTATCATGATGAAAACGGACATCAAAGTTAATAAAAGAAATACGATTTTCGTGAAAATATTCTTTTTTTATATTTTTAACTTTATAATGCTATAATTTTTTGAATAATGTATAGATAAATATATATTTTTTTATAAATACATTAGGTACTACCTATTATTTGATATATATATATTTTTTAATCTGATAATTCACCTGCCCACAGTGAAGGATTCAAAATGAAATCTTTTTCACAAAAAATTAACATATGTATAAATTAATAAATATATATATATATATTAATAATATATATTTATTTATTTATAAATTACACTTATAAATCATAAAACTTGTAATCAGGATATAAATAAGGAAATAGAAGATCATGTAGCTTTTGGAATAATCCATCAATTTTTTTAAATTAAACACTATCTATAAAATTGCATCGAAGAGTTTTTTATGATAGTGATTTAATATCACTGTCATATATCTTGACCCAACTATGCCATGACCATACTGTGCTAGGTTTTGATGTTTAATAATAATACTCGAATTTTTATAATTAATTATAGGCGCTTATTCAAGAATAGATAATTTTCATGAAAAAAACTTATAAGTAACTAACATGCAAGTTAATATTTTCGTAAATCAAAATTATTTTATTTTTTTCAATAAATTCAAATGATATGGTATTATTTTAAAATTTTGATATAGAACTTAATTTAAAATTAAAAAAAAAGATAATGTTTCAAACTCAACTATTCATAATAATAACCATAAATAATTTGTTTGATACGATGCTAAGAAAGTATTATTTTAACCATAAATTGCGCTCTTTTTATGTCTGTCCATGAAACTTTTCAGCTCTCGCTCAACTGATTTTGTTGGATTATGCGTCAATAGAACTCAAGTTTATACTAGTTAAACCTATCAAACAGTTAAAAAAACCCCGCAGTTTTATAAATTAAAAAAAATATCTCAAAATTTCCCTAGTGTAAAAAATAGCATTTTCAAATAATTTTTTCTGCGTTTTCAAACATTTGTAACTTTTAAAAAAAAAACATCTTAATAGAATATAAATTACACAATAAGTTTTATTTGTATATACTTTTTTATGAAAATATAATGAAATCTTAAAATTTACATATTAATAATTAATAAAATATGTTATTACACAATTTTTGTCAAGTCTATTATTTTCCGAAAAAAATGATGGAGTACCGAATAATTAGTTTATTTAAAAAACTGATGTTTTACAGTAATTAAAAATTTCAGTTACAATAACATTAAAAATCTCACTTTTAAAATTTTTTTAATAATATCTTGTAATATAAGAGTCCTAAATATAAAAATTAAATTTTTTATATTATAGTTAAATTTTATTTATTATCGTTTTATTCATTATTATGCATCGCGATTCGTTCCACCTTTATCAGCCGTCGCCCTATTTGACTGACCAGCAACATGTGCCATATGTCACGGTGCAAAGTTCAGTAAGTGCCGCACGACGACCAGCCGCAAATGATACGTCTTCTTTCCGTTGTCAAGGTGACAACGTCGAGGATGTACGCCACTGGCTCCGTACGTGACGCACGACCGGACTCGACGAACCGATCCGCACCCGCGCACCATAGTCGTCAACGGTGCTAACTTTTTAATGCCCGAGGATCATGACGGACACCGAGTCGCCGACACCAGCGAATGTGCCGCCATTTTATACGAAACGCGTTCATCCTTTCGGTTCGTTTGTTTTTAACACGCTTATATTAGTTTCACATGTATGTGAGTTGTGTGTTGTTTGTAACTCTCCACACCCCTCGTGTTATTATCTCGCGTATCCCGTCGTCTATTGCCTTGAGACTAGACTGTCGTAATGCATTAACACCACCCCGTTAAACACTCGCCGACAACATTATTTTCCTGCATAATTTGTGGTTTTTGTATATACATGTATACATATATATAAACACACATTTATTGTTTACTATTAGATATAAACATTTAAAGACGAACATTCAAATTTTTTTGAGTTAATATACTGCGTCCTTTATTGAATATATCAAATTAAAGCTTATTTTATGTACTTTAAAATGAAAAAAAAATTGTCCCGACACCTTATCTTCGTTGTGTAAACGACTGGCATAGTTAAAAAAATGTTATTTTCAACACGCTTATATTAGTTTCACATGCATGTTGTGTGTTTGTTGTTTGTAAATCTCCACGCGCCACGTGATATTATTCTTGTGTATCCCGTCGTCTATAGCCTTGAAATTTTAAATTTAACCATAATATGAAATATAACCGAAATAATCATAGATTCAATTAATAAAAATAATAAAATTCGTCATCTCGCATTTTTTAATTCTTATGTTCGTGAATATCAAATTATGAAATACCAAAGACGATCTCAGCCATTCCCAAGATTAAAATAGTATTATTTATAATAATTTAGTATCAAAACTAATTAACTCTCTCTACGTCCAAGTTAACAGCAATTAAATAAAGATTAAACAACATTAAAAGTTCTAAGCATATAGTGTACTATTAATGACCATTTTTCTCTCATATTTCTTTAAATCTTAATTAAAGTTAGTCAACACTAAATTTTAATTACTAAAATCAACAAAGTATAGTAAAAGGTATTTGATTATTAATTTTATTATTCAGATCTTTAATGTTAATACTATAGGTAAACATCATCAACTTAACTCCTTTTAATTTTAACCGGCAGAATGTCCGGACTGTTTTAGTTGTATATAATTTAATGTTGTTCATAATATTTATTTAATTTTCATGAATATTAATAAACCTACTTGGTTCCAAGTATAAACAATAAACATTCTCATAAGGAATCTAATAAATGTAAAATATAAAATCTTTTTATTTTTCCTAGCATATTTCCAATTAATTAGGGTTATCACCATTATCCAAAGCTTGCACTTGACACGATCTCCCACATCATCTACACACACATCAGCTATCCTCATATTGCAATCAATTATATCTCTCCATCTCTCTTTTTTATTCTTCTACCTCTTCTTCTTTCAAAATTAATTTCCATAACTGTTCTTATAGCTTTCGATTCCTCTCTCCTCATAATATGACCAAACCAGCTAAGTCTATTTTTCTCCCTTTATCCACAATAGATGCTACATCCATATTCCCTCTTATCTGTTCGTTCTCTATCCTGTCTTCTCTAGTCACTCCACTCATCCATCTAAGCATTCTCATTTCTGCTACACCAATTCTCTGCTCTACTTTATTATCACTCTGAAACATACATCATAGCTGGTCTCACTACAGTCTTGTAGAATTTACCTTTCAGCCTCATTGGAATTCTCTAATCGTATAACATACCATATGTTTCCCCCCATTTCACCCACCCATATTTAATCTTGTGTCTTATGTCCTCGCTAATGTCACTGATCTCCTCGTTTCCATTATCTCGTGTTCTCCTTTGTCAATCTCGTACTTTAAATACTCTTTCTTACACCTACTTATTCCCAAACTCTTTTATTCAAGAGCTGATCTCCACACCTCTCGCCTTTAATTAACTTCCTCTCTATTTTTTTTCTATTAACACTATATCATGAAACATGATATCTCTCC